CCCCCAAATAGTTCTTAAGATGTCTTTTTTTTAAATTGTTTTTCTTTATAGATGCCCAACGTATTGCTGCTCATGCTCGCACTGCATCAACTAGCCTGTTCCATGAAACAGACTTAGTGGTCTCTTATACTGACCTTGACAATCTCTTCAATTCCGATGAAGATGAGCTAACAGTAAGTGATGTGCAAAAGTAATGGCAGCTGCTAGACAAAAATCTGCAAGGAACAAGTATGTCTTTTTGTGGTTTTGGGCTGGTTTTTTTTGTTTGTTTGTTTTGGGGTTTTTTTGTGGGGGGGCATTTGTAGGAGAGGTTGCAAAAAATGCATATAAGCAAGTGCTGTGGCTCCTCTATAGCAGATGAACTGTTCTGCTTGACTTATCATATTTGTGATACAAACAAGCTTTTGATCTTATCCCTACTATCCAGACGGTGTATGCTTCTTGAATATACCTTTAGTTATAATTTTACAGATATGACAGTGGTACTTTTCTGTTTAACTAGTTAGTAAGGTAATACTGAAACAGAACAAAAATTTGTGAAAGAGAAGACTCATTTGACCATGTGGACATTGTGCCAAATAGGCTGCTGCAATGAAGCAGCTATTATCGCTGAACAGTTTCTCTTGCAGTGTCTGGTGGCTCTGAATCCGTTCTCTTTCTAGGTTCTGTTTCAGTACTGTTGATAATCGGTTGTCTTTTCTGAACTGTACTTTGCCTCATGCTTAATCCTAAATCCCCTTACCCAGACAAAACGCCCATCAACTTTAATGGGAGCTGTAGCCTAGTGAGGGCTGAAGGATCTTAATGGTCATCAAAGGTCATCATTCTAAGTGTATTTGCTCTTAAACATGAAGACTCTTATTTTCTATAGACTTTAGTACTATCTAAGCATTGTAAAATACATCTCTTTTTCTTCTAATTTCAACAGCTTTTCTTCCCTCTACCTCTTGTTCCAGGATTTGTGTTTCTCTATCTTTTCTATTCCTGCTCATGTGGTAACATCAGTAATGTTAGCATGGCTTTGGGAGCGTGTATGTTTTTTTCTTATAGATTGTGGGCAGCCCTGTTTAGCTTTTTTTAATATGTCTGCTAACAGGCTGAGTTATTTTATAACTGGTCTTTCATTTTAATAGCATCATGATTTGATGGGAAAGCATTCTCTGAGTTACAAATATTAAGGGAGGACAAATGTAACCCCAACTACTAGCATTGGGCTTCTGATTTATTTTAATTTTTCTAAATATTGTACGAAGTCACAGCTTTGTGTGTCCACTGCACATGGCATTTCCTGTTAGCAGGAAATACGAACATGTGTTCATGTCTGAAGTGATTTTATTACAATAGTTATTTTCTTTCTTAGCCTGGATCTAAAAGAACAGTGAATGGTGCTGATGACAAATCCAACTGCAAAGAAGCAAAAGCAGGAAATCTAGACCCACTGTCATGCATAAGTAAGCTTTATTTGGCTTTTTTTTCTACATGGAATACTAGCTGTAAACATTTGTTTGCCTAGACATTGTGGAAATTGGGAAACATACGCTTCATTTGCCCTACTGAAATTTTAAGTCAAAGGAAATACTTCAAAATGTTTTCATGCTCTAAAGCCTACTTCTAATCTGAAATTAGGCACTGCAGATCTCCACAAAATGTATCCAACTCCACCTTCATTGGAACAACATATTATGGGATTTTCTCCAATGAACATGAATAATAAGGAATATGGCAGCATGGACACTACACTTGGAGGAACAGTACTTGAAGGGAATAGCTCTAGTGTGGGAGCTCAGTTCAGAATTGAAGTAGATGAGGGTTTCTGCAGCCCCAAACCTGCTGAAATAAAGGTGAGTAGTGCTGGTAGTCTTCATACATGTTTCTAACGGTTATTGTTCAGTTTATTACTTAATATTGAATAGGAACTGTGGGAAACGAAGTACAATTTGTAACTCGTGTCCTGCATTATACTGGGGTAGGTAATGCACATTCTAGTAAGTAGCATGTAGTATTTTACTACTTAAGTTTCAAGAAAAAGTAATACATAGTTAGCCGTTAGGAAGCCCAGGGAATGCATTTCAGTAACTGTAGTTCATTGTTTTGTGTTGGCATATTTTTGGAGAACCATGGGTGTGAATGATGTGTGTATAAATCTAACCTTCTCTTTTGTGGCTATATCAGGATTAAATATTAAAGAACCAGTGCTTGAACTTAGTCCTCATTTTTTTGAGAAGCATTTTAATTGCTGAAGTGATCGAATTTATATGCTGATGCTTTATCATATCTAACTTCTAGGATTATTCTTATGTTTATAAACCTGAGAATTGTCAAGCTTTAGTGGGATGTTCCATGTTTGCACCGCTGAAGACGCTTCCCAGCCAGTGTCTTCCTCCCATCAAACTGCCAGAAGAATGCATTTATCGCCAGAGTTGGACTGTGGGAAAGTTGGATTTACTTCCTCCAGGACCTGCCATGCCATTCATCAAAGATGGGTATGACCTGTGCCACAAATATTTCAGCTCTGTAAGGTGGTCAGTTATTCACACTACAGGAAGTAATCCTAAATTTTTTTTTGTACACCTGTAATGAGAAGTATTTGTAAAGACACACTGTGTTTATACAACTGACAGCCTTTTAAAAAACTCCTTACAATTAAAGCTTAGAGTAGGAGACTGTCTTCTCAAATAGCTTTTTAACTGTGCATACATTTTATTCATTTTCCAATTTAAAGGTTTGTTGGGGAAGCTTAATAGTGCAAGTCCAGTTTTAATAAGTAATGAAGATGGTAACAATCAAGATAAATGTAAACTTGGGACTTGTTTTTGCAGTGGTGTTGTAGGTACTGTAAGGGCTTGGTAGGTGGTGCTTCTGTTTCTTAAAATATTTTCTTAAATAGCAGTAATCTGGGCTGTTCTGGGACTAGGAAAACACTTCCTTTGATTGGAAGCTATGCCCAGTGTGGCATTGCCTGGTAACAGCACTACTGCAGTCGGTATTTCTGTAATCTGTGTTTGGTAGTGATGGTCTTGCTGGCAGTTCTTGAAGAAAATATTTATTGTTCTTTCTCTTCTGCATTAGTAGCTGATATAAATATATAGCTTCCTTGTTGCCTAATCTATTTATTGATAAAATTACGTGAATATTAAATCTTGGAGTAAACACTGACGTTGCTTCTGTTAGGGTTATTCATAAGCAATATGTTTCCAGGTCTCATTAGCCTTATAGGTCTTTGGAGATACTCAGCTGCTTAGGAAATAAACTGTTAAACATTTCCAGGTGATACTCTCCTCGTGGATCCAGCTGAATCTGCTGTTGAGAGCTGGTATATTTTCTTAGTGTGTGTCAATACAATGTGTAAATAAAACATGAACAAAAAAGGTGTCCTTTAGACTCCATACAACCATACAATTTATAATTTATTCTGACCACACTTGTTTCCTGGAAGCTTTGTGCAAAGGAAAAGACAAAAGGAGGTGGGGACAGATTCTTTTAACAGTGCTGTCAGTGAGAGTCCTGCAAAGTCATTTAGGACAAATGCTCTTGAAGTTCCTTAGGGAATGAAAATCTTGCTGTGGATTATGAAAGACTAGTTTAAAAAAGCAAATATTAATTAGGAAGGTCCCTCTTTAGAAATTTGAGGCTTAAACTTCAAAACCAGTATGTTGTGTACTTAAAGTATTTCCTCCTTCTTGTGACTGCTCTTAGTGATGGAAGCACTATGGATCAAGAGTACGGCCCTGCGTACACGCCACAAACTCATACTCCGTTTGGGATGCCACCAAGTAGCGCACCTCCCAGTAACAGTGGAGCTGGAATTCTCCCTTCTCCTTCCACCCCTCGTTTCCCAACTCCCAGAACACCAAGGACTCCTCGAACACCTCGTGGAGCTGGTGGACCTGCGAGTGCACAGGGTTCAGTCAAGTATGAGAACTCTGATTTATACTCGCCAGCTTCCACACCGTCGACATGTAGACCGCTGAATTCTGTTGAACCTGCAACTGTGCCTTCCATTCCAGAGGCACACAGTCTGTATGTGAATCTCATCCTCTCAGAGTCCGTCATGAATCTCTTCAAAGACTGTAACTTTGACAGCTGCTGCATATGTGTTTGCAATATGAACATCAAAGGTGCTGATGTTGGAGTTTACATTCCTGATCCAACACAAGAGGCCCAGTATAGGTGTACCTGTGGTTTCAGTGCTGTTATGAATAGGAAATTTGGCAACAGTTCTGGACTGTTTCTTGAAGATGAATTGGATATTCTAGGACGTAATACGGAGTGTGGCAAAGAAGCAGAAAAACGCTTTGAAGCTCTCAGAGCTACTTCCGTTGAACATGGCAGTGGAGGACTGAAAGAACCTGAGAAACTGCCTGATGAGTTAATATTGTTGCTGCAGGATCAGTGCACCAACTTGTTCTCACCGTTTGGAGCAGCAGATCAAGATTCCATTCCCAAAGTAGGTGCAGTTAGCAACCTGGTACGTGTAGAAGAAAGGGATTGTTGCAATGACTGCTACTTAGCCTTGGAACATGGACGGCAGTTCATGGACAATATGTCAGGAGGGAAAGTTGATGAAGCACTTGTGAAAACTACTTGCTTGCACCACTGGTCGAAAAGAAATGGTAAATATTGAAAACAGCTTGTTTTCTACTTGTCCACCTATGAATTTTTTTTAAGGGTTTGTTCTTTGTGCTTTTCCCTTGCCTATGGGATGCTTAAGACTGCTTTTCCACCTGCATGCTTGCATGAACTTCTATTTTAAGAGTGTTCAGAATAACCATTCCTTTCACGCTCTGTGCTGGTACCATACACCAAGCAGAGTGTGAGCCTTGGCTACCATCAGTTGTTAATTCCCAACAGAAATTTGAAGTCACTGTCCGTAACACTTCACTGGGCTTATTCTTTTAAAGCAGCTTTGGGTGACTGCATCCACAGAGGCTCTGTGGAATGAGTGTACAGAGGAAGTGTAGGTGGTTCAAATGGTGACTATTGTCAAGGCTACTGTGGTAGAGTTAAACAAGATTTATGATTCACTTGGCTTCCCCCACCTTCTTTAAGGGGGGGCAGTAGTTTAATGACATGTGTGGCACATAAAGCGTTATTGTAGCCTTCACTGTGTGTTGGATCTGCTGGAGATCCCTGGATTCTTCTAGGGCCTGACTAATGAGATACTGTCTCATGGAATGACTTTTACTGTATTTGCATACTTCTCAAGAATAGTCTTCTCAAGCAGCAGCTCTAGCAGGGTGAACAGAGAAATATGAAACTTCGATAGCAGTCAGCTGCGATTCATAGTTGTTAATGAGGATGAGGAGGACTAGCAGTAAAACACAGCTCGGTTTCTGTGGATGGGTGTAGGCTAGAGATAAATCAATGTTTTCAGGAACCCAGGAGAAGACTCAGTGTTACTGTGACCTTGGTATTTAGGATAAAAAGATGTAAAGATAGTTGTAAGCAGAAGGCTATGAAATTATAGCCATACCAAATTTTGTGTCAGCTTTTTATTCTTAAACACTGCATTAAATGGCATGGTGGCGGCTACCATCTGAGGCTTCCCTTGACTTCTGTGAAGCGAGCACTGGGTGGCAGTCTGCCTAACGCTCCTTTATTTGGAGGGAGAACCCTGTAGTTTAATGGCTGTACAACTTGTTTGTATTTTTAAATTTTTGTGTTGTTTTCCCTCAGTTTAAATCATAACATAGTAAGGCTTTCAAGGGGAAAAAACTCTACAGAAAAAATATATTAAAAAAATAATCCATCTGTGGTTTCTCTAAGTGGCTGAGAGGGGAAGAGGGAGAACTCTAAACCCATGTGCCTAACTTTTTATATCGTGGCCTTTGGGTGGCCCACATGTACATTTCAGAAGAGGGTGACGTTGTTTAACATGAAGGCGGTTTGGGATTCTGGGTTGTTGCAGTCGGCCTTGACAATTTTTTTTTTGTCTTTTCAGTTGTGGATGTGAGCATGCAGTGTTCCCAGGACATCCTTCGTATGCTCCTCTCGCTCCAGCCAGTTCTTCAGGATGCAATTCAGAAAAAGCGAACGGTCCGGTCTTGGGGTGTGCAAGGCCCCCTCACGTGGCAGCAGTTTCACAAAATGGCTGGCAGAGGCTCTTACGGTAAACTGCGACGTAGGCTCCTGTCTGTTCATCTCTGCTTGATCCGGCCACCAGACCTCAGGGTCTGGATGCTGTTCGGCCTGTTGGAATTCTGAACAGCATTTGACCTTTCTTTACACTAACACGAGCTATTAGACAGGGGAGAATCCTTCTCTTAGAAAAACAGAAAATGCTTACTTGTTAAAACAGTAAATGAATTAAAGATATTTCTGTTTAAAATTAACAGCTTCAATTCCACTGTTTATGTACACCTGCCACTCCTCCAAGTGAGGATTTGAGCTGCAAGAACGGATATAATGTTATTAAAACCAGTAATTGCTCTGTTTTTTTTTTTACTCAAAAGAATTACCCCACTTCACTACTTTTAGAGTAATTAAAATATACTAGGTTTGAAATGCTTGAAAAAGTGTAATTTATTGCTCAGTAGTTTCAGAACTATGTTGAAGATCTGAGGTTATCCCGTGTGTTGTCTGTGATAAATATTTTGAGTGGCCAACATATGATGTACATCTACAGATACAAGGTAAATTTTGTGCACTCAAGATTTCAGCTGACTTCATTAGCATATGAGATTGATTTACCACTATGTAGAGGAGTGACCTTTCACCAGCAGGTCTTTTGTGGCTATATTTAGAACATGGTAATTATACATTTAGGGTACATGTAAATGAATGTTTTTAAAATTTTTTCCTTCTGTGGGTCCTTTACATATCTGCTTAGACTATTTGCATTTCCTCCCCCTCTTTGTGATCACTCTGTGGGGAAGACTTTCTGGACAGTTGAGATCTGTTTCTGATTGTCAATATAGTGACAGAAATACTAAACAATCGCGGAACTTCCTTCATGAGGCCCTGAGAGATTTCAAATAAGAATAATTAGCTGATGCTTTTTTGCAGAGGGTTGGATCATATGTGCAGGTTTTTCATTTGTATCTGTTAAAATGAGAACTGTTCCGTTTATAATCAGTGCTACTTCCTGTTAGATGCTGGGAATGCTAGTGGTATTTCTGTTCGTGTTTCCTAGAAGCCAGGTGTTAATTTTAAGCTTTCTGCTTAATATATTGGAAAATGTGTCTTTCTTTTCCAGGAACTGATGAGTCCCCAGAACCACTGCCAATCCCAACATTTTTGTTGGGATACGATTACGATTTTCTGGTGCTGTCTCCATTTGCTTTGCCGTACTGGGAGAGGCTGATGTTGGAACCTTATGGATCTCAAAGAGATGTTGCTTATGTTGTGGTGTGCCCCGAGAATGAAGCTCTGCTGAATGGAGCAAAAAGCTTCTTTAGGGATCTGACTGCAATATACGAGGTACGTTATTTATGGCAGTGAGCAGTGAAATGGATTTTTGAAAGACTGTTCCTAATACATACTCGTAACTGCTTATCAGGTTTGTCTCGGATGATATAAACGCTTGCACAGAATGGTGTCTCGAAAAGCTGCGAGAAAGGATTTTAGGAACGGGCGCTTGGAAGATAAGGGTTGTTCCTGCCGCTCACCATTCCTCTTAGTAATAGCTGTTTGAGAGTCTTCATCTGATAAACGCCACTCAGTGGTGAAACTCTGTATTACCACTTGGACTGTTTTAGCTACATTTAATTAATTAATTGAATGCATGTATTACTGGATTGTGATTAAGATTAGAGTAGCTGATGTATCAGCTTGTTTTTCTTGCATTTAGAAAAACCTGAAAATAAACCATAAAATCACTAGTAAATATTTAATACTGGTGTAGTATTCTAGAATTAAATGTTACTTTGGAATATCGTAACTAAGCTATGAGTTATGCTCCTTTGTGTGATATTTAACAGTTTTCAAGGCTTACAAGTTCCTTATCGTGCATCTTCTGTTTTTCCTTCTTTGCAGTCATGCAGGCTTGGTCAGCACAGACCTATCTGTAAGTTATTGCCTGATGGGATCATGAGAGTTGGGCCTACTGCTTCAAAGAAACTTTCAGAGAAGTTGGTCACAGAATGGTTCTCACAGACAGCTAATGCCACCAATGAAGCATTTTCCAAACTCAAACTGTATGCCCAAGTTTGCAGATATGAGCTGGGTATGAAATTTTTTTTAGTGTTTCTTATTTCATCCAATTACCACTTGCTCCATTCCAGTGGAGGAGAAGAAATCACTGCATTCATTTATTGAGTCTTATTGTTTGTTGCAGTTTTCTGGTTTTAAGCTTGGGTGGAAAAAAAATTCAAAACCCCCATGTGTTTAGATATGTGCTAACATGGCATCTTATCATCTGGCAGGATCTTTAGGGAACAGCAGTGTTGCTACTTGACGGGGCCTTCGGTTGTCTTTTTGTACTGGTGACTTAAATTCTGAAGCAGTGATTTTTAGCAATTCAGTGTGGCTGAAAAAAAAATTTTAAAAATAGATTTCTAGATATTTCTGAAAGTGTCTTATGAGAATACTGGAATTTTAAAATTTAATACAGGTATTTTAATTTGAGAGGTAAAATGTATGCTAAGGGTTTACTCCCTTGTTCTTTTGAAACCAAGGCTTACATAGATGAAGTATGCTAAAAACAGCTGCAATATACAACTTGTGCTTTTTTTCTGGTTTCAGGTCCTTATCTTGCTTCTCAGCCTTTGGACAATTCTTTACTTTCCCAAACAAATCTGGTCCCTCCCTCCAGCCAGCCGGCCTCTACTCTGCCCCCAGTGACAGCTAATGCTGGAAATCCCAACACTCCATCCTCTGCTCCTGCAGCTCCCACCAGTAGTACCATGACAGCGACATCAAACAGTGCCATGTCTTCTGCAGCTACTACAGCTAACTCAACGCTGACTACCACTGCCGCCTCATCCTCTTCTGCCAGTACAGGCAGTGGGATACCAACAAGCAAGCCTTCTTCATTTCCGCCATTTAGCAGCATGAACAATACCACTTCTGCCTCCCTGCCCACTCAGGCTGCAACAGTCCAAAATGGGCAAACTGGAGGACAGCAGCAACAGCCAACACTGCAAACAGCAGGGATGTCTGGAGATACTCCTTCAGTGCCTGCACAGCCCCATCCAGAGGTTTCTGAAAGGTAACGAACTACAGGGTCAAACCTGCTTCGGCTGAAAAACACCCCTCAGCTCAACTAATGTGAACCTATTAATGCTGCTCTCATCCTCTCCATAAAAATCCTTTATTTCTTTTCTAGTCACCAGGCTGCTTTTTAGGAAGAATGAGAGTTTATTCGTGGTGGAGCTGAACTTTTTGGTTCTGGTCTTAAGTGCTTTCTCTTTTTTGCTCTCTCTCTAAAGAGAAAAAAATCATCAAACTACTCACTTCTATATTTTAAAGGGGCCGGGGCGGGGGGGGGGGGGG